TTGGTCTATAAGTCCATTTGATAAAACTTTTAAGTCTTAGGACCTGGACCGGACTCAGACTAACTTTTCCAACCCTATCAATAAGCCACATATATTACACGTATTAGATGAGTGCGCGTTTCTTTCTGTACATCGATAATAACCCACAGAAGGATTGGTCGATTATTAATGCACTGTGATACATAGAGTCAAAAATCGAACTATTATCTTCAGATACAATCAATATTTTCAAGGATGATATGTATTCGTTATTACAAAGTTTGAGTATCAAATGTTATGTGCACGAGTTTGCCAAGAAAAAGGCGAAGAAAATTCTGATAAACTATGATAAATCATTTTTTTCAATTGATATAAAACGTTTTATTGAAGAAATTGAGCTAAAAAATGAAAAAAGAGAATTTCAAATATCGATAAGTTGAAGAGTTACATCCGCAAGTACATTAAATGCACTGGAGGTGAGTCTTAAGGAATAAAACATAAATAGTTTTACTAACAATCCTATTAGGAGCATCGTGAGGCCAGAATAGCAATCGGAGATATGCGCAATGCAGCAAGCACAACATCAACCATCGAATACGACTTTGAAAGGAAACATGAAGATCTTAGGGAAGAAATAATGGATAGAGACGAGGTTTATTGATATAATTATGTCATCACAAATCGTATTTTGTCTCAATTGTATATCTTTATCTCTTTTATCTTTTCTCTTCTCAAGAATGGTCAAATCGTTTTCGAAGCTGTACAAGAGTCGAGTGATTTCAGTGCGCAAAGTTACGATCGAAGATCAAGAAACAGATGCCAACAAGCTTGATGAAATTGTTGTAACCAAGGTAATAAATACACTGAAAACGTTGAAACCATCTTATAGATAGTATCTGATATCTTTTAATGACAATACAGATATCGGCCTTACTTTTCTCGAACCTTTCTCTTGAAAGAATTTGGACAAAAGTAATAGAGCGATTAAAGAGAAACGGTCTACGAGTACAGTATGTTATTGTGATTACACACTTTTTCACAATAATGTGTGCTAATCATTACGTAATTTCAGGTCCATTGAATCATGAATTATAGATCTTTCAAATTGGACCAAAGTTGAATGGAGTAGGATTCTAAAAGTATTAGACTACTCACAATTATTTATCAAATCAAGAAAGAAGCTATGCAAAGACAAAATTGATGAGAATGTATAAAAATTACTTCACAATGGATCTGGTAAAATGGTAAGCAATTTTTATCTATGTGGTTGCTTACTTTCAATGATCATTCAAAGGTTATCATTTGTTTTTGTAGCAGTCATTATCAGACCTAAAATCATGGGGAGATAAGTTTACAAATTTGGAACCATCTGAAGATGCGAAATTGACTGTTAGTATTATTGAGTTTTTGTAAGTATTTGGTTGGAATGGGATAACAACAGAAACAATTATATTTTAATACTGACTGGGTTTCATTTAGCTGTCTTTGTTTACGAAGGGAGATCAATATCTTAACCATAAAACACCGAGAACAGGACTATGTTGTTAAGATTCTTAGTCCAATAATTGGATTTCTAATTAAAGAATTCAACATTGGTACCTTTGAACTTAATTGGTACATGATCTATTACATTATTATTAAACAGCTTGCTAATAATATCTAACCTTTAATGTATAACTGATTTGTCTAGGATTGAAAAAAGTTCTCGTAGTGTTACTCGTCGAAAATGACAGGCATTACATGAAATGTACATAACACTAGACTCGCCAACAAAAAAAAATGGATTTAATTATACTATTGCGAAGTTATCAAATAGAATTACTATCTTTAGAAGCTGGAAATACTGAAGGGCCCATGGATGATACAAAATTTCGAGAGGATCATTCAAAAATGAAGGTGATGATGAAAGATAGTTTGAGTGCATTTTGGAGTAGTTTACATTTTAGAAAAGATGAACTTAAAGAAGTCTATATAATAGGCATTCAAGTAACAGGTAAATAAAAGTATATTTTAATTATTCATTGTGATTTAAGTTTTTTACACCTAAAAATTTTCTTGTATTGTATAGGCAATAAATGGACTATCCATTCTCTCACATATGACGATTCAGTAAATTTTTATTTTTTCACTGAGATAGCTACATTAACATTACCAACAACACTATCTGATATGGAAGGTCTATTACCAGATTTTTTGGAGAACATTCTTGCGTTAAGGGTATGTAAATTACGTGTGATGAATTTTCTCCATCAAATCATAGCATTTACATATCTGTGTATTTCTTATATAGCATACACTAATTGATTTAGCTGCAACGATTCAAAAGATTGCCAAAAAAAAATTTACTACACCATCTCCACCATTCTCACCATTGCACGCAACATCGGATACTCCTTCTATAAAAAAGCAGAAGATAGATCCTTTTTATATTTTAGACAATTTATATGATTTCAATCATTAATATTCAAATTATAATAAATAAATAAAACTAATATCTATTATTGCTAAAATCATTACATAACATTTCATATATAATTATTGTGGCTCAATATGGTATATTCTGATCCCTTCGTATATTAAGTAAAACTGATTCGTTTGTTAACTGCCAATTTCCAGGCTGATTGGAAGGAGCAAATCCTTTTTTCTTCAAAAATATCACATGATATCCTGACCATTGAAATTTGCAGAACCATAACTTTTATCTCCAAATCTTTGATTAAGAAAGGGGAAATACACTCGTATCATGCTTATATCCCCCCTTTCGTTTAGCCCAAAAGTGGGGATATAAGCGGTCTTGCAGTCACATGACAAGGATCATGAAATAATATAATATTTAACACTATATCGCCCTAAAGTTTAAGTAAACTAGCCAGCATTTTTTTCCAGTATCCAGGATAAAGGTAGTAATTACATAACCATTTATCCTATAAAATGATATATCAGATCGGTTGATGATTTGATATGATATAATACAAAGCATTTTGTATTGCTTATGCACGTTCATATTTACAGATCAATTTTATAAGAGAGATTGTTTTTTTTTAAAAAAAAAATTAATTGAATTGAATGAATAAGATATGTAATAAACTTTTTTCTTTATACATTAGTATGAGCACAGCTTTTTTAAACCTGGAATGAATTGTATATGATTTTATTTATTTTATACAAAGATTTGAACATTACATAATCAAAAGGGCATAATAAAGTTAGTATTAAAAAAAGTTAAAGGTAAAGAAATATAGTGGTGGAATAAAAGGAGATAAGAAATAAGGTAGGTATATATATATATATATTTCTTAAATTTAAAGACAAAAATAAAAAAACTTTATATATAAAAAAAAACAAAATGGTAGCCCATCATTTCGCCTTTGCCATAATGGTAAAATAATTTTTTTTTTTTAAAGTTTAAAAATAAAAAAAATAATATAAATACCATTTTTTTGCAAGAAGGGTGGATGGGATGTCATAATCTAACTTTATCTTATACTCATAATTCAGTTGATAATCATAATTTAGTAGATTAATTTTGCAACAAATCTTTTGTCAAATTAGCATATGCAGATCCAACTAAAAAGAGTATACTTTGCAAGTGTTTTGATGATCTTTGAATCAAGAACTTCACAAGAACCTTTAATAATCCTTATAAAAATGATATTGGTATTACAAGTATTACTATATACCAGTTATTTGTTTTCTATTATATGATAAAATTAAGTAAATTTCCATCCCCATGTGATCAGTGACATTTAAGAAAGGTAAAACAAATATTTTTAGCAGAGAAAAATTTTCAGTTTTCAGAATACATAGTAAAAATAAAATCAGAAAAGCGTGATAATGTGATAAATTATGTATATCATGTAAAAGTGAAAAATTTTAGAATAAGATTCTCAAATGAATAATACTATTCTAAAAATTCTTATAATTTATACTTATTATTTTCTATCAATAATATATTAACTGATGAACTTTGATTTTTGCATAAATCCAAAATGTTCTCAGCCAACAATTGCTTCAAATTTTACTAGCAAAATTTACTCTAACATTAATAAATTATTGATGATACTCTTATGCCTTTTATTTAAGTATATCTTGAAAAACTGGAATATTATTACTACATACTGTTAAAACTACTTATAAATAGACCTTTTCAATAATATTAAATATTCTTTTTATATTTGAGCATACTTGTTATCTCTTACTTCAATTTACTTAAAAGCATTGGGAACTTATTGCTTATTTTAAATAATATTACTAACAATTAAGCGATCAAAATTGTAAATTCTCACTACTTTTGTGTATTTCTTCTTTTTTATTAATAATTTCAATTTTGGTTCAATAGTAATTTATTATCTATATTTATATTTTTTTGTTAAAGCTATGATTATTGAAGACATTCTAGTATTAAAGAATCAAATTTAATAACTATAATGTGAAAAATAATACAAAAATAATTATTAACTGTCTATATACATCATATTAATAAAGATATTTAAATATCTGCATAAAATCTTTTTTAGTAAATAAGTTAGAATTATTATATTTGGTTATAAGAATTTTAAAAATAGTGATATATCTGAAATTGGATATAACTGATACAAAAAGAACATTTATTCTTAGAAGATCATTTATTTTACAAAATTCAGGGATAACTAAAAGTGAAATAACTAAGTAGGGGATATAAATGGGATATGAGTATATATTATTTTTGCAATCATTTTATCTATTTCAAATTAAAAAGCAAATATAAGTATTTCTATACATTTTTTATGATAAGTATTAGCACATAAATTGCACTGAAAATAAATATTGTGAAATGGCTTCAAAGATTATATAAAGTTAAAAAATAATTCTTCACCTTACTATTTTATAAAAAAGCAATCCATTGATATATGATGTGATTAAAAAATTTATCAATTAGAATTAATATATCAGATAAAAATAGCTAAAAGATGTGAAGCATAAAATGCAAAATAATATAAATACTACATTTAGCAAACTTATAAATACTACATTTATATCTATATTTATTAACTCTTCTATTGCCATCAAAGTCTTTTGCATAAAATGCTGTCAATATTTTCATGCTTTTACTCATTATTCCAAATATGAAAATATTATATAAATTAAAAAGATAGATTGGTAAATCTTGAATAAATACAGGTATATCTAAAGCAAAAATATTGGTAAATGTCCTTTTATAAGATAAATTTGATAAGTTTTCCAAGAAATTTCCTGACTATGTTTTAAATCATTCTTCATATTATAATGTAAGCAGCTCAAAATCTGAAAGTTTCAGTATTGATATTATTAAGTTTTAATTTTCTAAGAAAGGGTAAATTACAAAATAAGTCTCAAAAATATATTAGAAAATATGTTAAATATATTCATTATATTTTCACTTATTCTATATATCTTATTATTAAGTGTGTGAGATTTAAGGTAATCTTAAATCAAGAAACAGGACTCGAAAGGTATAATATATATATCAAACTAACCAAAGAAGATTTGAATACAGTAATAAATCTTAAATTTAAAGTCAGATAAAATAATGAGGATCTTGTTAGAGCTAAAAAAAGGGCTCTATATTAAATCAAGAAAAAATATTATTATATAGGCTTTAAAGATGAGCACTATAATTAAGAATTTGCAACTCGGTAAGTTGCAACTTGAGTTGCAACTTGGTTGCAACTTCTTATAAATTTATTTAATATAAAAATTCATAAATAGTTGCAATTCAAAGTATTGCAACTTAAGTTGCAACTAGTTAAAAATTTTAAAAATAATTATAGAAACTATCTTTAATAGGCTTATTATAATAGGTAAAAAAGATAATAAAAATTAGGATATCATTTTATGAGAAGCTAATGCACTTTTAAATCTGTTTACTAGATAGAAGTAATAGTTAGCAGATTATTTTTACTTGTTTAACACTCTTTAAATCTTGATAGGAGTTAGAAATATAGTATAAAGATTGGGATAGTTGATTGAAACCTTAATGAAATTGAGTTTAAAATATTTATCAAAATGTTAATGAAATTAAAATAAAATAAAATTTATATATAAGATTATCTGTATATAAAAATTCTAATTATAGTAATTCTATTGAACATGAAAAAGCTATATATTTTCTTAGAGATAAATTGCAATTTTAGATGTTCAAAAAAGATTTTGAAAGAGAACTTTGTTAATTACATAAGGTATTTCAAGCTCTCTTTAGATCTGAATAAGATATATTTTTAATAGCTCAACTAAAAATAATGAATAGTAGAAAAATAACTGCTAGTCAACATCTTAAAAAATATATATATACTAATAATAGAACTTTTTATTATTGAGATTACAATATGTCTCTTTGTCAGAAAATGTATCTTAATATATTAGAAATTAGTTATACGCACTTTGAAAATATTAGAAACGACTTGGTGATAAATATTATGCATTTATTATAACATAAAATAAATATCATAATAGAAAACTAAAATAAATATTTTTTTAACAAAAATTTATCTACAATATTCAGAATGCTATTTTAATATTAAAAAACAATAAATTTGTTATTTTTTAATAAAAATCTGCCTTTGATGTTCAGAATGGTATTTTAATATTAAAAAAACACAATTGATATAACTATTGCTACTACAGTCATACCTCTCTATAGCGAATTTTTATATAACGAATTTTTTGGACAACTATATTAAATTTACCCTCGTT